ATAGCTCATTGCAGTCTCAAACTCCTATGATCTCAAGTGATCCTCTTGCCTCAGCCTCCCAAGTAGCTGGGGGTACAGGCACAGGGCACAACATTTGGCTAATTTTTGTATTTTTTATAGAGACAGGCTGTGTTGCCCGGGCTGATCTCAAACTCCTGGCCTCAAGCAATCCTCCTGTCTCAGCCTCCTAAACTACTGGAATTATAGGCTTGAGCCACTGTGCTCAGCCTATTTCATTTTATTTTATTTATTTTTGAATGATGATTCTGCATACTCTTCATTTTTTTCATTATTTCAGTAGATTCAGGGGTACAAGTGGTTTTCGGGTTACATGGATAAATTGTATAGTGGTGATGTCTAGGTTTTTAGTGTACTTGTCACACAGATAGTGTACCTCACACCCAATAGGTGTTTTTTCTTCCTTCACCTCCTTCCTAGGCTCCCCTCTTCGAAATCTCCAGTGTCCATCATGCCACCCTGTATGCCCCTGTGTACCCATAGCTTAGCTCCCATTTATAAGTGAGAACATGCGGTATTTGGTTTTCCATTCCTGCATTACTTCACTTAGGATAATGGCCTCCAGTTTAATTAAATCACATTTATTTATTTTTGTTTTTGTTACACTTGCTTTTGGGGTCTTAGTCATGAATTCTTTGCCTAGGCCAGTGTCCAGTAGAGTTTTTCCTAGGTTTTCTTCTAGAATTTTTATAGTTTCATGTTTTACATTCAAGTCTTTAATCCATCTTGAGTTAATTTTTGTGTATGGTAAGAGATAGGGATCCAGTGTCATTCTTCTGAATTGTGCTAATTTTCCCAGCACCATTTATTGAATAGAGTGTCTTTTCCCCAGTGTATTCTTTTGTCTGCTTTGTTGAAGATCAGTTGGTTGTAGGTATTTGGCTTTATTTCTGGGTTCTCTATTCTGTTCCATTGATCTATTTGTGTACTTTTATAAGAACTCAATTCCATTTGCAGGTGCAAAAAACAAAATACCTAGGAGTATACTTAACCGAGGAGGTGAAAGATGTCTATCAGGAGAACCACAAAATGAAAGAAATCCTAGATGACACAAAAAAATGCAAAAACATTCCACACCCAGGATTAGAAGAATCAGTACTGTGAGAGGGACCATGCTGCCCAAAGCAATCTACAGATTCAATGTAATCCCTAGTAAAATACCAATGTCATTTTTCAAAATTAAAAAATACAGTCCAAAAACTCAAGTGGAACCAAAAAAGAGCCCTAATAACCAAAGCAATCCTAAGCAAAAAGAACAACTCTGGAGGCATCACATTACCTGACTTCAAATTATACTGCAAAGTGATAGTAATCAAAATAGCATGGGAAAAAATGTTTTTAAATGAGATCCAGAAAGCATAAATATCACAGGAAAAGATTACTAAACTCTGAGTCCATTAAGATAAAAACTTTTTTATTTCATTAAGTTAATCATTTAAATAGTAAAAAGCCAGATACTTGGCAAAATATTTGCAAATAATATAATTCACAAAGAGTAGTATCCAGATTTTATAAATAATCCAGTAATAAAAAGAATCAGAACAAATAGTTTAAAGAACAAGAAACCTAAATGGCCAATGAAACTTGAAAAAGTTGCAGTCTTACTGTGATAAAAAGTGCAGATTCCAACTACATGGAGATTGTAAAACTAGTCATTTCATGCTGCTAGATTGGCAAATATTTTTAATTTGATGATAATTGTAGTAACTTACTGGACATTTACTATGTGTACTTTTCTAAGTGCTTTAATCCTTGTTTTACAAAACTGAATTAGAGGGAAGTTAAGGTTACACTTTTAGAAAGTGGCAGAGGTAGAGTTAGAAAGCAAGAATTATAACTCTAGAGGGCCCACTGGATTGAATACCATGCCAGAGGTAATAGCACAAAGTGTTTAAGTAGAGAGATTTTGGAGACAGGTTACACTTACTAGTTGTGAGATCTTGGGTAAGTTATTTAATCTGTTAGTGACTCATTTTTGGCACTTACCTTCATTGTAGATTGTTAGGAGGCTTAAATAATTTATTTTATAATTGTTGTGATTCTGTTGTTACTTAAGTGTGGGTGAAGATGTGATGTAACAGAAACTCTCATACATTTCTGGTTCAGAGTGTAAATTAGTACACCACCCTAGTACCTTCAACTTCAAAATACCTTTTTGAAAATATCTAGCAATTCAACACCTGGTTACATATCTTAAAGAAACTCTCATACATATTGCCAAAGGGCTGTGCACCAGGATGTTCACTGAAGCATTGTTTGTTTTGGCTGGGAACAACCTCAGTGTCCATCAAATGAATAATGGATAAATAAATTACAAAATTTTCACATAGCAGAAGAGTATGTAGTAGATTTTTAAAAATGAACTAGAGCCATGTGGGTGAACATAGATAAATCTTGAACTATATCGAACAAAAACAATTTGCGGAAGGTTGTATACAGTGTAATGCTGTTCATATAAAGTATAAAAGTATGGAAAAAAGTCTATGACGTTCTTTGATGTAAGATTATACAGATTTTAAGGTATCACTAAGGAAAAAAAGTCATTATGAAACTATGATAGGCCAGGCATGGTGGTGCATGCCTGTAGTCCCAGCTACTTGGGAAGCTGAGGTGGGAGGGTAGCTTTGAGCCTAAGAATTTGAGACCAGCCTGGGCAACATAGTGAGATCCCATCTCAAAAAAAAAAAAAAAAGAAACTATAATATACCATTGATTGTAAAATACATACCAATTTTAGAGATGTAAAAAATGTGAAAACAATATGCCTGTTAGAATAGATGAACTATAATATGTTATATACTATTTGTGGATATAGGTTAATATATGGGTGTGCTAAGTAAAAAACACCAAAATCATGATAGGGTTTTTTTTTTTTTTTGAGACAGAGTCTCACTCTGTTGCCTTGGCCTCCCAGAGTGCTAGGATTACAGGTGTGAGCCATCACGCCCGGCAAGGATAGGGTTTTTCTATGTAAGAAGTCAGGGGGATGGGATTTGGAAGGCACACAGAGGGACCTCAACTCTATTTGTAGTGGTTTGTTTGCTTAAAAGGAAAAAGAGTACAGAAGGCAGAGAGTTAAGATTCATTAGAGCTGGGTTGGGAGTACATGGATATATTTATACTTTTTTGTGTGGCTGAAATATCATGACTTTTTGAAAGTTGAAAGTGAGGAAGAGTAGATAATGTAAAGTGGATGAATTTGGCTTGAAAGGAAAGGTGATAGAATAAAGCACAATATTTGGGGAGGTTTTTGTTTAAGTGAGAAATACAGGTATCCTTTGCTCTCTGAACTCTAGCTATGCAAGCTCAGAAATGGAATATATTCTTACAGATTTTCAAAGAAATCCTTTATTGTCTAAACTCTCTTTTCTTTATCTGAAACTGTGGAACCAGATAGACATACTTAAGAACCACATAGATCAGGAAATGAGGAATACGTTTGCTTGAACTCGTTTATATTTGTTGGAAAGAAGCCAACAGAGAAGAAGCTGAAAATACAGACGATAAGTTTCTGAAGGGAAAAGAGTTAAGATCCAGACTATAGATAGAGTAATTTACTTTGGATAAAAGAGGGTCACTAACTTCACTTACTTTATAAAGAATGTGTTGGGGCTGGGCACGGTGGCTCACGCCTGTAATCCTAGCACTTCGGGAGGCCGAGGTGGGAGGATCGCTCGAAGTCAGGAGTTCGAGACCAGCCTGAACAAGAGCGAGACCCCGTCTCTACTAAAAATAGAAAGAAATTAGCTGGACAACTAAAAGTATATAGAAAAAAAATTAGCCGGGCATGGTGGCGCATGCCTGTAGTCCCAGCTACTTGGGAGGCTGAGGCAGAAGGATTGCTTGAGCCAAGGAGTTTGAGGTTGCTGTAAGCTAGGCTGATGCCACGGCACTCTAGCCCAGGCAACAGAGCCAGACTCTGTCTCAAAAAATAAAAAATAAAAAAAAAATAAGAATGTGTTGGGAATAGGTTTAAATATAAAAATGTTTTTAGGTACGAGTGTGATATTGACCAAGTGTTCTCAATTGATTGTGCCTAGTTGTGCCCAGTATTCTCAATTCACTGTGAGAAGTGTAAGGAAAGGTCAGGGTCAACTAGGAGGTAAGGCAGCAAGGTTGGGCTTTTTTTTTTTTTTTTTTTTAACATACTGACTGCTACACTAGAAAAAAAATGTTTTCCTTGGGGCCATACTGTTTTATTAAGAAAATAGGATAAAAACTTTGAAAACAAAATGATCCTTTCTAATTTAATGAAAAATTTGTTATTTTTTTTATTGTTTTCTGTGCATGAGTTATATGCAACTTGAAAAATAGTTCACATGGTTCCCAAGGTGAAGAGATGTGTGAGTTACATGTTTCATTAGGCCCTGGGCTCAAAACTAGCGTGAGTTAACTACAACTCACATGGCACTTATTGTGTTAAACAGTGCTTAGTAGTGGTTGGATTTTTTTGTTGTTCAGCTTTTTATATCTTGTATTAGTAGAAGTTACTGCTTTTTGAAATATCTTTTTGAAAATTTACTTGACATTTGCAAAAGTCACAGAATTTACTGAGTGTCCTTAAAATTCCAGACAATGGACTGATTATGTAATACCTAACCTTGGAAAATTTATTATCCAGCCTCAGACTACTTCCCTAATCCATCTTTTCCAGGCATGGGGGAAAAACTTCCAACACATAAGAATTTATGTATATTTCAAAGTTTATAAGTATTCTTATTTTATTTTATTTTTCATATCTATAGAATGAGAAAATTTTTTACAGTATAATCTTCATTTTACAGTTTAAGTCTAATATTCTTTTTTAGTACAGAGAAATCTGCTTCTCTTTAATTATTTCTTGTAATTAATTAAAGATTATTTTGGAACTGAACTATTCAAATACAGAGCATGCACAGAGCATTCTTCTTATTTTTCCTTGACACTCCTCAGTGCTTTAGAGCATTCTTTATTTCTATTCATTATCACTTTTTAAATTTTAGAGCTGAACGACAAAGAAATGAAGCACTATATAATGCTGAAGAGCTGAGTAAAGCTTTCCAACAATATAAAGAAAAAGTGGCTGAAAAACTGGAAAAGGTAAGAGGCAGTTGTGCAAATTCAGTGTTTTATATTACTGTCCATATTCTAAAAATAAAGGTAGATATAACTAGAATATGTGTATCTACGGTTGAAGCTGAAAGTAATTTTTATGATCTCATTCATAATAAAATCACTGAATAAAGAATTTATAAATATTAGTAAAGGATGATGTCCACCAATCTTTTTATTATCAGCAGAAAGCTTTTTTTTCTAAAGAGGGAAGAGAGTAGAAAGAAAAGAAGGAACAAAATATAAAGAAAAATGAAGTGTGTAAGCAGAGGGTAGAGCTAGAGAAGTAGAAGCAGGAAACTCATTTCCATCACCTCAGTGAAAATGAAGACAGTGTAGATTATGTAACTTTTAAGTTGTCTCCCTTGACCTACCACCCTGAGAGGGGCTTGCTTCTTCCTCTCAGAGGGAAGCTTCCTTGAACTGGTTCTATACAGAAATGCAGTGACTTTATTACCATGCATGTATTATATTTATTTAATATTTTTAAGTAATACCACACAGTAATGAAATTTGTATGGAAGAATGCCACAAATTGGACATTCAGATATTGAACTCAGAGGGAGGTCTGGTAAAGAGATACTGATAATGGGAGACTTCCCTTTTGAGACAGTAATTAAAGCAGAGGAAATTAGTGATTCTGTTCAAAGAAAGGTAGAAGGCCAGAGGAAAGAATGTTTAAGTAGAAAGACAGAATAAGAAGATTCAGAGTATAGGTAACTAATGGGTATTCACTTATTAAACACTTATGAAGTTCCTTTTACATGCCAGGTACTATGCCTGTCTCTGGGAGAGTCAGTGATATATAACACATGACACCTACTCCAAAGAGCTCACAGTCTAGTAAGATTGATAAGTATGTAAACAAATAATTTCAGTATTTTGGAATAAGAAGTATTTAATATAATAAAATAAGTGGTGGGTATGGTAAGGAAGGATGAAGGGGGGTTTAATAAACTCTGATGGGCTCAAAGAAGGCTTCACAAGGCCGGGCGCGGTGGCTCACGCCTGTAATCCTAGCACTCTGGGAGGCCAAGGCGGGAGGATCGCTCAAGGTCAGGAGTTCGAGACCAGCCTGAGCAAGAGTGAGACCCCGTCTCTACTAAAAATAGAAAGAAATTAGCTGGACAACTAAAAATATATATAGAAAAAATTAGCCGGCATGATGGCACATGCCTGTAGTCCCAGCTACTCGGGAGGCTAAGGCAGAAGGATCGCTTGAGCCCAGGAGTCTGAGGTTGCTGTGAGCTAGGCTGATGCCACGGCACTCTAGCCCAGGCAACAGAGCCAGACTCTGTCTCAAAAAAAAAAAGGCTTCACAGAGTAGGAAATGCTGTGGCCTTAAGGACACATGTGGCCTTCTACGTCCTTAAGTGTGGCCTTTTGACTGAATCCAAATTTTACAGAACAAATCCTTTCATTAAAAGGGAAGTAGCAGAGAAAGATGAAACATTTCTTGCCTCCATTGATGCTTAAAAAAGAACAATCTTGAAATCAGAAGGCCACAGGTTCCCCACCACTGTTAGGGTATCTCTAAGATTGTGGTATATCATTGAACAGTGTTAAGCAGAGGAAATGATCAAATCTATGTGTTAGAAAGTTCACTCTGATATCAGGTGAAGATGTATTTGAGAGGCGAGAGACAAGCCAAGGAGACTCCGAAAGACCAGGCAAGAGATATTGAAGATGATGGAGTTGAGGAGATAGATATGAGAGATTTTAAAGTTGGAGAATCAGTGGGATCTAGTGACCACTTAAATATATTAGAAACAGGCAGTAAGAGAGAGAGAGGGAGAAGTATGGGATATCTTTAGGTTGCTGGTTTGAGAGACTGGTGGATGATTGCATCATGAATCAAAATAGACAATTTGGGAAAAAAAATATAATGAGTTCTATTTTGGAAATGTCTGTAGAATATCCAGTTGGTTTCTAATAGGCATTTGTATCTACAAGTCTGGTCTTAGACAATGAAATCTGTATTAGGACTATAGATTTAAGAATTGACACTACTTAATTGAGTGGTAAAAGCCTTAGACATTGACAGAGTTTATATAGAGTGAGAACAGGATGAAGAATACAACCCTGGGAGATAGTTAAAAAACCGGTGGAATAGCTTATGAAAGATACGGAGAGGAAATGACCAAAAAGTTAGAGAATCAGGAATGTATGATACGAAAAGCCAATGCAGTAGCGCATCTTTAAAACAAGGTAATGGTTTTCAGTGCCAGATGATGCAAATTGGTCAAAAAAGGGTGAGGACTGAGACAGGGCTATTTGTTTTTATAATCAGAGAGTCACTGGATACTTTGCAGAGAGCAACTTTATTAAAGTAATAGAGACAGAAGGGACAACCTCTGAAATGGAAGAAATGGAAAGGGAGACAGTGGAGATAGCTAACAGACTATTTATATAAGGTAGATAAAGAGGAAATAAGGGGAGTGGTGGTGAATAGAATGGTAGAAAAAAGCTAGCTTAAGAAAAAGGGATTTTAGGCCGGGAGCGGTGGCTCACGCCTGTAATCCTAGCACTCTGGGAGGCCGAGGCGGGCGGATTGTTTGAGCTCAGGAGTTCGAAACCAGCCTGAGCAAGAGCGAGACCCCATCTCTACCAAAAATAGAAATTCATTGGACAACTAAAAATATGTAGAAAAAAAATTAGCCGGGCATGGTTGCGCATGCCTGTAGTCCCAGCTACTCAGGAGGCTGAGACAGAAGGATCGCTTGAGCCCAGGAGTTTGAGGTTGCTGTGGGCTAGGCTGATGCCACAGCACTCACTCTAGCCCGGGCAACACAGTGAGACTGTCTCAAAAAAGGAAAAAAAAAGAAAAAGGGATTTTAGGACTAGGGATACCCTGAACATATTAATTAGCAGATTCGAAGGACAGTAGTCAGTGGAGGGGGTTGGAGGGGGAGACTGAAGATGCTGGAATTATGTCTGAGAATGTATTCTGAACTAAAAAAAATATACTGGAATTCTAGGGAATAAAAGATGGCACAAAGGCCCTGAAGGATATGCACGATGATAGTCCAAAAGCAGAGGGGAGATATTTTTTAATAAAATAAGGACTTTCCTTCTCCTTATGGGAAAAAGTGGGTAAAAATACAGAAAAAAAGGCCTGGTGTTATGACTCACACCTGTAATCTGAGCACTCTGGGAGGCTGAGACAGGAGGATCACTTGAGGTCAGGAGTTTGAGACCAGCCTGAGCAAGAAAGAGACGCCGTCTCTACTAAAAACAGAAAAAATTAGCTGGGTGTGGTGGCATGGTGGCATGCACCTGTAGTCCCAGCTACTTGGGAGGCTGAGGTGGGAGGATCGCTTGGGCTCAGGAGTTTGAGGTTGCAGTGAGCTATGATGACGCTACTGCACTCTAGCCGGGATGACAGAGCAAGACTCTGTCTCAATTGAAAAAAAAAATAAAGGTAAAAGTTTTAGGTGGAAGAAAGAAGAAGAATTGAATGATTTTGAGTTAATAGTCTTTAGTCTTATAAGATAAGATGTTGCTGAAGTGATTTTCATAGCACAAGGGTGATAGGAGAGATTTTGGAAACTTGGGGTGAGTGTTTCTCATACCATAATTATAATAAGGTAAGTCAAGAAAATAGCTAAAATTTTCGAAGGGAATATGCAAAAAGAGAAGAGCAGAGTAAAAATGACCAGTTGGTAAAAGGTAGAAAAGAAAAGAAAAGTGGCCAGAATCGAGTAAAATATCATCATGATAGCTAAAGGATAAAAGAGCTTAGACGAGAAGTTATCAACTATGTTAGATACTAAAGTCAAAGTGGGAAAAGTTTGTTTGGTTACGAAGAGGCCATTCCTTTATAGTAGAACTGTAAATACCACTTAGCTGTATAAAACATTGAGACCTCATTAGGTATTGAAATCTTAAGTGTGAATTAGTTAATCAGATCACTGTTTTGAAAGCCTTGGAGAAGGTCCCTGTGGGAATGGAATATCTGAGAAGCAATTTTTAATAACCTTATCTGTAGGAAGAGGTAGAATACCAAGTAGGAGTATCCTTGGGGAGAGGGAGGACTTTATAGAGAAAAGAGACCTTTCCTTAGGATTATCAGTTTCTGACTGTGGTTAGCAGAGCCCTGTAATTAGGTGGATATAACAAAGGAATTGGAGCAGATCTGCCCAATCCTCCACTTATCCCTCCACCCTGGGTGCTTGACTTTTATTTGTTTTACATTTTGGGCTGCCATTTCAGTGGGAGTATTTTGTGACTGAAATTTCAAAATAACTTCTCTGGAACATTTGCACTGAAATTAGTCTTTAGTAATTTTGATGTGGCATTCCTACATGAATTGCTTGCCTTGTCCATGTGAGGCCAGAGCATTTTTGCTTTCAGGTGACAGTGCTATTGTCCACCTGTTAAGGGCTTTTAAGGATTTCTAGACAGGTAGTAACATCCCCCTCCCTTTCCTTTGTTACTGCTCAGGAACTTCACTTTGCTCTCTTTCACTCTAAGGCTTGGGACTTAAATGTATGAAGTACTTAGTCCATTCTTCTGCTTCTTTCTCAAATCACTGCTTACATTTTTAGTTTGAAACACTAAACTTATGACATTAACATGTCCACATAAATTATTGTTTTAGGTTCAAGCTGAAGAAGAAATATTAGAGAAAAACCTGATTAACTGTGAAAAAGAAAATAAAAGGCTACAAGAAAAGTGTGGTCTATATAAAAGTGAAGTTGAAATTCTGAAAGAGAAATTAAGGTACAGTATTCTGTTGTAGAAAAAGGACTTTTGTGTTAAAATAGAAAAACAGCTGAAATGTTTTAAAACATCATATTTTGTATATCGTAATTATGGGCTTACATTATGTAGAAGGATAGGCTTCATGTTTTCTAGGTATAAAGTTTGAATTATAAGTGAAATAAAATATGTGTTCATCCCAGTATAGTTGTAAATATAGAGTAATACTGATTGATACATTTGCTTTCCATATATTTAGAGAAAATAAACACAGACATAATGTCCTTATAGTATGACCACATTAGCTAGCTAGTAAAATATGTATAATAACAGATGCTCTAATAAAAATAATTCTTCATATCATAAAAAAATCACCTAGTCCAACCTTCTCATTTTATAAGTGAAGAAACAGAGGCTCAGAGAGTAGCCATTATATAGCCAAAGTCAGAAAAAGATTGATCAAGGTCTTCTGATTCCTATACTCTCTCTAGTATATCATGTTGCCCGCTCAGAACTAATCCCTGACGACTTTCAGAGGTTAACATTAATTAGTTCTTATCACTTCAGACAGTTAATTTTAAAACAGGGGAGTAGGGAACAATTAGAATAACTGGTTTATCTAGTTTTAACATACTTTCCTTAAGGTAGTACATTTAGTACTTTTGCCAAGGTAGAGGGAATAAAGATAGTTTTTATAATGGTTACCTTAACTAGAGTATTTCCTAGAATCTGATATTATTGGTTGCAAGATACACTTTTAAGAAAGAAAAATGCTGCTAATTGCACTATGATATAGTGCTTTATCTCTTAAATTTTTGTTTTATACTTTACAAAAGAATTCTTAATTATACTTAGACGTGATTTCTTAAATCATGTTACTTTTCTACAAAAAGGAAAATATAAGTGAAATAAATTGGTTAAGATATTCTTAAAACTTCACATTTAGAATCTGACCCTTCTAAAATGTCCATGTTTTTGAACACAGTACCTCTTTCTCTGTGCCATTAAGAATGTTGCTGATGCAGTATTTCTTAAAAGAATCATTATAAGAACAAAAGTCATTGGTGCTGTGCCCTAAAACTGACTTCACAATTATATAGTGCCAATTTTTTGTTATTGTTGAGACAGGGTCTTGCTCTGTTGCCCAGGCTGGAGTGCAGTGGTGTTGTCATAACTCACTGTAACCTTGAACTCCTGGGCTCAAGTGATCCTCCTGGCTTAGCCTCCTGAGTAGCTGGGACTACAGGTATATGCCACCACACACAGCTAATTTTTCTTTCCTTTTTTCTCTTTTTTGTCGAGATAGGGTCTCTCTATGTTGCTCAGGCTGGTCTCGAACTCCCTTTCTCAAGCGATCCCCCTGCCTCAGCCTTCCAAACTGCCAGGATTACAGGCTTAAACCCCCATGCCTGGTGACTTTTGACTTCTGTTTCAGGAATCTTGCTGTGTATCTGATTTAACACATATCCCACTCCTCCCCACAAGCATTTGTTTCTGTGGGTTCCAAGTGCTCCATTGTTATCTCCTGGTTTTTCTTCCCATTTACATACACCAATTCTGCTAGTTTTAATGCAGGTTCTTTTGATGTTTACATATACATAGGCATGAAACTACATTGCAACTACTGCTTAGCTGACAGCTCTTTTAGGGAACTATTGATCATTCCAATTTCAGTGATGTGAAAAAGTGAACTGATGAAATACAGTAACAATTCTAAGCATAAGATTGTTCTAATATTTGGCATGTTTTTATAGATAGATATATATATTCAAAAATATTACTACCTAATAATCTATTAATGGTAGATTAGACTTTAACTTACAGAGTTTGTGATTTTTCCTTACAGTATCCAAAACTTTCTTGATGCTGCACAATGCTGTGTTGGGAATTTGGAGTTAGATTTCCTGTCTTACACATTTTAAACAGAACAGAAATACTTCCAAGACAGTAGGTCTTGCCCTACTGTTTTCTGTGAGACATTGGGAAAGTTACGTTACCTTTTTAATGCCTCAATTTTCTCATCTGTAAAAAGGAAATAATAATAATGCCAACTACATAAAGTCATGAGTACCTGGCATGCAGAAAGTAGGCACTCAGTAAATGTGAGCAGATATTGATTCAAAAAATTTTAAAAGTGAGATTAACTAAATATGCTTATTGAAAATGAATGCATATTTTATTTTCATTTTTATTCTTTGTTCTTCGTAGGCAGTTAAAAGAAGAAAATAACAATGGAAAAGAAAAATTAAGGATCATGGCAGTGAAAAATTCAGAAGTCATGGCACAATTAACTGAATCTAGGCAAAGTATTCTGGCACTAGAAAGTGAGTTAGAGGACAAAGATGAAATACTTAGAGAAAAATTTTCTCTAATGAATGAAAACCGAGAATTAAAGGTCCGTGTGGCAACACAAAATGAGCGACTGGATCTGTGTCAGCAAGAAATTGAAAGTTCAAGGGTAGAACTGAGAAGTTTGGAAAAACTTATATCCCAGTTGCCAGTAAGTATGTATGAAAAGAAATGTAGTATACTTGATTATATAATGGAAGAGAAACATTTTACTGAAGTGTTTTACAAAAGACCATCATTTTGTGGTTGCTTAGTAGCTGCTTCTCCTACCTGTCTATGCTTTTAGTCATCAATTTCTTTTCTATCTAATCTCTATTTTTTCCCTGTACTTACCATTCTGCTATACCACCCTTTCTCTGTCTCTCAGGTGCCATGTATAAGAATGGCACAAAATTATTTTTAAAAACAGCTTTATTGAGATATCATTTATATATCATTACATTAACCCATTTTAAGTGTGCTAGTCCATGAGTTTTAGGAAATTTACAAGTTTTGTAAAAATCACCATAATCTAGTTTTCAAACATTTCTGTCATCCCCAAAAGGTAACTTGTACCCATTTATAATTAGTCCCTGTACCCACACCCACCCCTAGGAAGTCACTAATAGTTTCTGCCTCTATAGATTTATCTTTTCTGGACATTTATATCAATGAAATCATATAATATGTGGTCTTTTGCATTCTTAATGTTTTTGAGAGTCATTCATGATGTGACATATATCAGTATTTTGTTTTTTTATTGCTGAAGATTTCATTGTATAGATATACCACATTTTATCCATTTACCAGTTGATGGACATTTGGGTTTTTTCCACTTGTGGGTTGTTTTGAATAATGCTGCTATGAATATTTACTTATAAGTCTTTTTTTATTTTCGAGAACCAGAGTTTCTCAGGAATGCTTACAGGTCTTTGTGTGGGCATGTTTTCATTTCTCTTGGGTACACACCCAGGAGTAGAATTATAGAATTGCTGGGTCATATGGTAAATTTATGCCAAACTTTTCTAAAATGTCTACACCATTTTACATTCTCACCAGCAATTTATGAGGGTTCCTGTTTTCCCACATCCTCACCAAAACTTTGTTATTGTCTTATCTTTTTTATTATAGCCATCTCAGTGGGTGTGAAGTGGTATTACATTGTGGTTTTAATTTGCATTTCTCTGATGGCTAATGTTGAGCAATGTTTCATGTACTTATTAGAATGGCATAGAATTTTAAAATGTTTTTCTGATAATGGTCTGCCACCCTTTCTCTTTGAGTTATATATGTGACCATATAGATAAGTGAGATTAGGAAGAAGGTAACTATACCTGTGTCAGGAATTTGTTATAAATAGGTGTTAAATAAAGGTAAGGTCAGGGGAAAACTAGAGATAAAAATAATATGATTGGTTTCACATATGGTTGTATGGTAGACTAAATGATAAAATCTTACCAATATTAAACTATTATTAAACATGGAATTATGAACCAAAAAGGGATCTTAGAAATCATCTGATTCAATACCATCATTTTATTGGTAAAGAAATCTAGATCCAAGGAAATAAATAACTTACCCAACTGTCAAGTAGCAGAATTTAAACTAGAACATATGAATCTTAGTTCTTCTGTTATATCTGCTTTCCTAGGATGCTGTTTATTAGCTTAGATTTTTAATATACTGTTTGCTTTTGAAATTAGAAAGTAATGACATGTAGATAGCAATTTTAAATTGACATTCTCATTTGTGCTCAGTGTCAAGAATTATTTGATACATGATTCTGAAGGTGGTATGGTAATGTTGCTTGATCATGTGTTTCATACAGTGCTAAGAATGATATGATCAGGAAATGTGATTTTTTTTTTTATTTCTAGAAGGTGTGATTTGGTTAAAGTTTGAAGGTAGTAGTCATTAAGTGTTTTACTTGCTCCTCTTAATAACTGTTTCTTAAAATTATATGTTATTCAAACATACAGAAAAGTATAGAGACCAATCTAGCACAGCATTTGCAAAATATGGGATACATATTACCCAGCTTTAGATTTTTTAGAATAAAATTTTACAGATAAAGCTTCTTAATGTACCTTATCAGATCCCAGTTCTCTTCCTCTCTCCTCAGAAGTAGCAACTATTCTGAAATTCATGTGTATCGTTCTCATCCATGTTTTAAATATTGTCACATATAGATGCATCTAAAAATATATATATTCTGTAGTATATTTTAAAAAATACTATGTTTGCCATTGTAATTTGTTTTTCACCCAATATTATTTTATAAGATATATCCATATTGACTTATATAACTCAGATTTATCTTAACTGTTGTAGTTTTCCCATTATATTAATATGTCGTAATGTACTTATATATTCTCCTATTGATGAACCTTAGATTATTTTTATGAAATTCATATAATTTTTCACACTTAGGGTTATGAATAAAAAAGCAATTGCATTCCACTTGCATATTGAAAGTTTTTATATGTTTGTTTTTAAACTTGCAGTTAAAAAGAGAAATATTTGGTTTTAAATCATCTCTTTCTAAGTACCAGATGAGTAGTTTGTCAAAAAAGGAAGACAGTTGCATTGGCTGCTGTGAGGCAAATAAATTGGTGATTTCGGAATTGAGGTATAATTTTCAGATTTTGAAGTTATAGCAAATAGAATGTTTTTTAATGGTAATTAAATTGAGATCTTTAATTGAGAAATTTAAAAAATATACAGACAAATCCAGAGGGTATTATAACAAATGTCTGTGATTCCACAACTAAGAATTAATTCTTCTTGACATTTTGTGATACTTGTTTCAAATCTGTTTCTCTAAATAAAAAATAAAACATTACAGGATGGATAATACCTTTTGATCCTTACTGCTAGTTCCATTCTCCCCCTAAGTATCCAAAAGATGAGATGTGTATTTTTCTACCATTTTAAATATGTTTGCCCTCACACACATGAATATAAATGTACTGTATGTTTATATTGTTTGTAATTTTGCTTTTTCACTCAGCACCATTTTAAAAATTTATCCGTATTGAGATAGAGTCATTGATCAATGGATGGATTTGTGTGGCTAGTTTAGTTTTAATAGCTGTGTGGGATTCTATGCTATGTCGTTATTTATTTATGCATCCCTTTATTGATAGTTACCTTGTTTCTAGTTATTTTCTATTACAAACAGTGCTGTAAGCAGTGGTCCCCAACCTTTTTGACATCAGGGACCGGTTTCATGGAAGACAGTTTTTCCATAGACATTAGGGGGTTGGGTGGGGCGGCGTCACTACCTGAGATCATTAGGTGTTGGATTCTCATGGGGAGCAAACAACCTGGATCCCTCGCATGTGCAGTTAACGTTGGGATTCACGCTCCCATGAGGGTCTGATCCCCCCGCTGATCTGCCACGGGGTGGGGCTTGGGTGGTGATGGAGCGATGGGGAGTGGCTGTGGGTGCAGGTAGGGCTTCCCTAGCTCACTGCAGCTTGCCTCCTGCTGTGCGGCCTGGTGGGCCCTTGTGTTGGGGACCACAGCTGTAAAGAACATCTGTATACATGTTTCCTTGTACATCTATATGAGAGTTTCTCTAGTATATATTCCTAAAAGTGAAATCTCTGGGTCATTGAATATGTACATTTTCAATTGTACTAGGTACTATCAAGTCTGTAAAGTGGATGAACCAATTTATAGTCCTACCAGTGGTATATAGAAGTTTCCATATCCTCCCTAAGAAATGAATAATGTCAAAATTAAAAAATTTTTACCAACTTAAAAGGTAAAAAATAGTACAGTAAGAGATATTTTTAATTTTTTTTACTTCTTTTCTTTTGTGCCAGGATTAAGCTTGCAATAAAAGAGGCAGAAATTCAAAAGCTTCATGCAAACCTGACTGCAAGTCAGTTATCTCAGAGTTTTATTACTTGTAATGACAGCCAAGAAAGTAGCAAATTAAATAGTTTAGAAACAGAACCTGTAAAACTAGGTGGCAGTCAAGTAGGTAAGTATATTATATTGAATTGTTTTAATAAATTACAATCAGTTCTTGATGATAGTTTTTTAAAGAACTGGATTATCAACTATTTGGTTTCTGTTATCAAACATACTGGATCATGTGTTATTACTAGTTATGGTCTGATAAGACAGCAAAAATTATTTCAGAAATCTTAGACTTTGCATCATTCTTTATAGTTTATTGAAATGAAATTTACATTCAATCAGATGTGCCCGTTTAAAATATGCAGCTTGGTAAGTTGTATCACATAATTTGTTTTTTAATATGCTTATACTCTTGTTACCAATACCACAATCAAGACATATCTCCATCAGGATTCCCTTGTACTCCTTGCCAGTTTACTTTAGGTTTAATTTTCTTCTTTGTTTTTTAACTTTTATAAAGTTAAAAGTTTAGATTATTGATTTTAAGTCCCTCTTCTTTTCTCATCTAAGTATTTAAGGGTAAAAACTTCCCCTTAAGCAATGCTTTGACTCTATCCTACTAATTTTAATTTGTTTTATATTCATTTTCATTCAGTTAAAAATATCTCAATATCCCTTGTAATTTCTTCGACTCATAGGCTGTGTTTATTTTATTTCCACATATCTGGAGATATTCCAGATACTCTTGTGTCATTAGTGGTAGTCAGGGAACATACTCTACATGACTTCATTCTTTTTTTTTTTTTTTGAGACAGAGTCTCACTCTTTTGCCTGGGCTAGAGTGAGTGCCGTGGCGTCAGCCTAGCTCACAGCAACCTCAAACTCCTGGGCTCAAGCAATCCTCCTGCCTCAGCCTCCCGAGTAGCTGGGACTATAGGCATGCGCCACCATGCCCGGCTAATTTCTCTATATATTTTTAGTTGTCCAATTAATTTCTTTTCTATTTTTAGTAGAGACAGGGTCTCGCTCTTGCTCAGGCTGGTTTCGAACTCCGGAGCTCAAACAATCCGCCCGCCTCGGCCTTCCAGAGAGCTAGGATTACAGGCGTGAGCCACCGCGCCCGGCCTACATGACTTCATTTTTTAAAAATATTTTGAGACTTTATTTATTGGCTAACATATGGTCTATCTTGGTGAATGTTCTAAGTGCACCTGAAAAAATTGTGCATTCTGCAGTTATTGGTTGGAGTATTTTTTGAATGTCAACCATGTTAAGTTGGTTGATGGTGAGTGTCATTTAAGTCTTCTTTATCTCTAATGATTTTCTATGTATTCATCCTATCAATTACTGAGAGAATAGAATTGAAATCTTCAGCTATATATGTGGGTTTGTTCATATTTTTAGTTTTGTCAATCTTTGCTTCTTGTATTTAAAGATATTATATACATACAAATTGAAAATGGTTATATCTTCCTGTCGAATGGGCCCTTTTATTAAATTTCTTTCCTTCTGCCCCCTACTTTTTTGTGTCCCTGAGTGGGCTCAAACCCTTTTAATTCCTGGTAATATTGTTTATTCTGAAGGCTACTTTGAAGTTAATATAGCCTCTCTAGCTTGTTTTGATTGGTGTTTGCCTGATATATTTTCTCTATCCTTTTAACCTTGTCTTTATATATAAAGTGAGTTTCTTATAGAAAGTGTGTAATTGAATCTTATTTTTATATCCAAGCAGACATTTTTTGCTTTTTTATTGGAATGTTTAGATCACTTACATTTGATGTAACTATTGATCTTTTTGGATTTAAATCTACCATCTTGGTATTTGTTTTCTATTCCATTTTGTTCATCTTTCCTGCCTTCTTTTGCATCAAGTATACTTTAACATTCAATTTTTTTCTCCACTATTTTTTTTTATTAGAGCAGGGACTTGCTCTGTCGCCCAAGCTAGAGTGTACTAGTGAGATCATAGCTCACTGTAACCTTGAATTTCTGGGCTCAAAAATTAGAAAATTATGGCTGGGCGCGGTGGCTCATGCCTGTAATCCTAGCACTCTGGGAGGCCGAGGTGGGCGGATTGTTTGAGCTCAGGAGTTCGAGACCAGCCTGAGCAAGAGTGAGACCCCATCTCTACTAAAAATAGAAAGAAATTAATTGGACAGCTAAAAATATATAGAAAAAAGTAGCCGGGCATGGTGGTGCATGCCTGTAGTCCCAGCTACTTGGGAGGCTGAGGCAGTAGGATTGCTTGAGCCCAGGAGTCTGAGGTTGCTATGAGCTAGGCTGATGCCACGGCACTCTCTCTAGCTAGGGCAACAAAGTGAGACTCTGTCTCAAAAAAAAAAATTAAAAAATTAGCCAGGCATGGTGGTAGTCCCACAATGCTTGTACTACTTGGAAGGCTGAGGCAGAAGGATTGCTGTGGTCAGGAGTTCAAGGCTGCAGTGAGCTATGATGAAACCACTGCACTCTAGTCTGGGCAACAAAGTGAGAACCTATCTCAAAAAAAAAAAAAAAAATTGTAGGGGTGGGGTCTTGCTATTTTGCCAAGGCTGGTCTCAAACTCCTGGCCTCTGGCAATCCTCCTGCCCTGGCCTCCCAAAATGCTGGGATTACAGGTATGAACCACCATCCCTGGCCTCTTTTCTTTACTATTGATTCATTATCTATACTTTTTTAGTTTACTTTTTTAGTGGTTGCCCTAGAGTAATGAATGCATCTTTAGCTTATCACAGTCTATCTTCAAATATAGTGGCTGTTAGCAGCAGAGATTACAGCAGAGAAATCGAATATCTAAGTGATGAGAGAGAATAAGGAAGAGAATCATGGGATTAGCAGAGGGAGTGATAGTTATTATATTAGAGGTAGTAGTATGTATATATAATGCCATTGATTTTGTGACATCAAGGAAGAACAGAGCTGATGACAGATTGATAGCCTAGTAAGTGACATACTATGGATGTGGAGAATTGATGGGAAATGGCTGCTTATATAACCCTTGAAGGCAAAGTGCATCTCTACTTGTTTCCACATCTGTGTGCATTCTTGTGTAATCACCTACTTATACCTCAAAGCACTCCTGAAAGCTCAGTTACCTTGAAATGGGACATATATATTAATGTAGCTTTATAGTGGAGAAAGGGTATAGTCAACTTCCTGTGATAACCTTCAGTAATTTTTCAAAGCATTACTGAATTCTCATCAGCTATTTGGAGAGAAGGAAGATGGGACTAGGAAGGATTCATTGTTTGTAGCTTTTGAACCTGCATCTACATACAGTACATAAAAATATTCTCTTATTTTTTTATTTTTTATTTTTGTGGAGACAGGATCTCACTTTGTCACTCAGGCTAGAGTGCAGTGGTGTCATCATAGCTCAATGCAGCCTCAAACTTCTAGGCTCAAGCGATCCTCCTGCCTCAGCCTCCAAGTAGCTGGGACTACAGGTGTGTGCCACCATGCCTGACCAATTTTTGTATTTTTTGTAGAGACAGGGTCTTGCTATGTTGCCCAGCCTTGTCTTGAACTCCTGGCCTCAGGTAATCCTCCTGCCTTGGCCACACAAAGTGCTAGGATTACAGGTGTAAGCCCAGCACCGTAAAAAGTACTTGTTCTTTAGTTAGTTTAGAAAGTACTTGTTTAGAAAGTAGTTTAGAAAGTACTTGTTCTTTAGTTATATTTTCCCTATTGTATGTCTCATTCTCCATCCCTTTCAGTATTCTTTAGATCAGAAACTAAACTTTGTTTATGATTAAATCTTCCAACTATTTAAAAAGTTTTTTATTCTTGAAGTCTTATTCAGAACACTTTTCATGTTTATTAGCAGAAAATATAAAAGATCAAAATCAACATACTGTGAACAAGCAATATGAAAGAGAGAGGCAAAGACTTGCTACTGGAATAGAAGAACTACGTACTAAGCTGATACAAATAGAAGCTGAAAATTCCGATTTGAAAGTGAACATGGCTCACAGAACTAGTCAGTTTCAGCTGATTCAAGAGGAGCTGCTAGAGAAAGCTTCGAACTCTAGCAAACTAGAAAGTGAAGTAAGCTTGGAATTAGCTGGGTATATGTATTAAATTTTGAGATAGGAAAAAAGGTATTGTTGTAGACTTTTATAAAAACTGTGTGTTTTAAAACCAGATTTATAAGTTCAAACAAAATGGTACCTCATGAGTTATAAATCCTTTTAAGTTTATATTTGGAAACTTTTGTGTTTTAACCTATGTTAAAAGTAGGAAAATACTCTCTAATGACCTAAAAGGTCTCAAATTTGGTGAAACTAATACTGCATTGCAGTCTGTTATTTCTTCTGCATTATAAGTTAATATGGTTAATACACGTTTGTAAGTAAAGAATTTGGATTATGTAGTTGGAAGAAAAGGAGTGATAATAGAGGATTTCAAATTTTAGCAAACTCAGAGCCACCTATGAAGCCTGTTAAACATGTAGATTTCTGGGTCCTGTTCCAGTAATTCTGATTCAGTATATATGGGATATGGCACAAGAATCTCTAGTTTTAAACAACTGCATGTGAGTCTGATGCAGATATGCTATGAATTACACTCTGAGAAGGAGAATGTGTGTATTGTGAATATATGGTCTCCATTTTCACTGAGGAAAGGGCAAGTGTGCCTGATTAGGTGTTGTGGACCAGGACAACATGTGTATATGTTATACTCGACCTTCAAACCAGAGGAGGCAGTCATCTATAGGGGCACTTATTAAATGTCTGCTTTTTCATCTAAAAGTCTATAGCCAAGGCCAAGGAAAAGACCTGTGGGATAGAAACGTGTGTTAATCATGGAACAGGAGATTTTAGGCAGTGTCTAATTATAGCTACTAACTTACTTAGAAAATTGTCAAGGGAGGAAAAAAAATTGTCAAGTACTTAGATTAATAACTTTTTTATAATTACAAAAATATAGTCTTGTAGAAGAAAATGAAAATGCAGAAGGGGAAAAAGATGAAAATAAACCATTGATAATTCTGTTGCTAGAAATAACTGCTGTTAACATTTTATTATAGTTATTTCAGTTTTTAACAGCTACTTTAAAAAAAATAGGTTAGGGTATAATCCTATTTGGATGTAGGGGTCTGAATTAAATTACTTATGTATTACATAGACGGAAAAAGTGATATCATATCCCTGGTTTTCCTTTCACTATTTGGTTTTCTTCTAAATTGTCACCTATTTTTTAAAGTACTTATAATTATGTAGATTAAAATGTTATTCACTTTGTATCCCAAACGTTTATTACCGTAATGTATTTAAACTTTGAAAAGAAGAATAGGTATTTAATTTTAGGATGCAAAATCATTATCTTTAAAAATAATTTTATATTTAAATTCCAATGTGTTTTCAGATGACAAAGAAATGTTCTCAACTGTTAACTCTAGAGAAACAGCTGGAAGAAAAAATAGTCGCTTATTCCTCTGTTGCTGCAAAAAATGCAGAACTAGAACAGGAGCTCATGGTAAAGCTTAACTTTGTTGTTACAAATTTACTATGACTTTTAGGCATTTAATTTGTTAAAGCATGTTTGTTTTAGTATCATTATTATGAAATATACGAAATACGAAAATATAAATTCTACTAAACTCTTCTGATCATTCATTTCTTATTTCTCTATTTTTAAGTTAATAGGCCTGTATGGCAAGTTGTTATCCAGGTTTTCTCATTTTTATCCTAATAGAATTGAAGAAAATGGTAGTTCTTTGACACTTTTCAATATTTTTAAATAGTTTAATCTCATTTTAATAAAATATTTTTAAACAGCCATTTTGTTAAAGTTTGAAGTATTAATATTAACTACTGTGATTCTTTAAAGATTTAAAGAATATGACACATTTAATGCTTGACTGATGTACTTTTATGTAAAACTAGTTTTCAATTATATTCTTTTAAAGTGTTTTATATTTCTAGGAAAAGAATGAAAAGATAAGAAGTCTAGAAACCAATATCAATACAGAGCATGAGAAAATTTGTTTAGCCTTTGAAAAAGCAAAGAAAATTCATCTTGAACAGCATAAAGAAATGGAAAAGCAGATTGAAAGAGTAAGTAATATTTAGGATATGAGTGCTGAAAAGAACCTTAAACATTACGAGCCCAGTGTTTTTTATTTTCTAGTTGAGGAAATACACACAGAAAAGTCAGTGGCAAGAGCTATAATTAGAACCCTATTCCTTATGAGTCATTTTCTCAATGCTTTTTTTAAATATAGTATGCCTTCTATTTCAGCTTTAATCGCTATTTTTTGACATTAAAGTGAGAGTGATTTTGTAGACTCTTACTTCCCCAGAAATATCAGTTGCTTGAAGATTGGTTGAGAGGAAAAAAGGATATAGAGGCACTCTTAACCTTGGGTTAAAAGTAAAAAAGAAGGTGTAAGCCACAAAATACAAGACTATGTAAAAAAATATGTATAGTAGTCCTCCCTTATCCGTGGGAGATACATTCCAAAACCCTCACTGAATGTCTGAAACCGCAGATAGTACCAAGCCCTACATATATAATGCTATGTTTTTTCCTATGCATACATACCTATGATGTTTAATTTATAAATTAGGCACAGTAAGAGATTAACAGCAATAACTACTAATAACATAAAACACTTATAACAATATACCATAATAAAAGTGAATGTGGTCTCTTTTTCTCTCATGCCCTTGTGCCTCCTTTGCACTTTTATGAATATAGGTTCTATTGGGCATCGTCTAGAAGAGCCCAATTTTATCACAACTGAAGATTTGACCAGCCTGGGCAACATAACAAGACCCCGTCTCTATAAAAAAATAAGAAAAATTAGCCAGGCACGGTGGTTTGTGCCTGTAGTTCTAGCAACCTGGGAGGCTGAGGCAGGAGGATTATTGAGGCCGGGAGTTCAAGGCTTCAGTGCTGGAGTGCACTATTGCACTCCAGCCTTGGCAACAGAGTAAGACCTCATCTCTAAAAAAGAGAAAAAAATTAAAATTAAGAAGACTTACTTTGGATTATATCCTTTCTTCTTAATCAACTTCTTCAGCTCTGCCAGAAATATGGCAGCAGCTTCTTCATAGGCAGATGCAGCCTCTTTAGTAATTTTTATATTTTTCAGTCCAAACCTATTCCTGAATCTGTGTAACCATCTCTTACTTGCAATAAATGATTTGTTATCACTTGTTTCAGGGGATCCCTTGCTGAAGTCTTTGTATATGCTGAATGCTTTCTGGTGTAGCACATTGCTATCAGTCAAAACATGTATTCTGTTCATATCTTCTACCCACAAATTTAATGCCTTTTTCACTTTAACTAAACACTCATCATACACAGTGGCCATGACTTTTGCAGTTTGAGGTGCAACCACAAAACTAGCATGAATTTCTTGTTCCTTCTTCACATTTTCGTGGATAGATTTGTTCTTACCATAGATCTTAGCAACTTCAGCATACAATTTTTTTCTTTCTATATTAAGTCAAAAACTTTCACCTTTCACTTAAAGGAAGCACTTTATGGCTTCTCTTTGGCATATCTAAATTGCCAGCATCACTACTCTTGTGCTTTGGGGTCATTATTAAGTACAATAAGGGTTCCTTGAACACAAGCACTATACTACCATGACAATTGCCTGGTAACCAAGACAACTACTAAGTAAGTAACAAGCAGGTAGTATATACAGTGTGGATACACTGGAGAGTGAGATGGCATGAGATTTCATCACACTACTCAGAATGACATGTGATTTGAAACTAATGAATTATTTATTTCTGAAATTTTCCATTTAATGTTTTTGGGCCACGGTTGACCGTGGGTAACTTAAACCTTGGAAAGTGAAGCTGCAGTTAGGGGAACTACTGTAATTTGGATGGGCTAGATAGCAAAATGGAACTGATATAAGGAAAGTCAGTGAACTTGAATATAGAGCAATAGACATTCAGAGCAACCAGAGAGAAAAAAAAGATTTAGAATATAATTAAACAGAATCTTGAGGTCCAATGGGATAATATCAGAAAGTCTAACATTCATGTCATCAGAGTCAAAGAAGGAGAGGAGAATGAGGTTGTTGCAGAAAAGTATTTGAAGTAATAATGACTGAAAGCATCACAAATTTGATGAAGGAAATAAATTTACAAATGCAACAAGATCAAAGAGGATAAAGAAAAGAAATCTTCCACACACATCAAAATCCTTGCTGAAAACTAAAACAAAAAATCTTGGAAGCACCCATAGATAAATGACACTGGATGTAGGGGAACAAAAATTAAAATTACTACAGATTTTTCATAAAAATTATAGAGGTAAGAAGACAGAAGTACTTTTTTTTTTAGTGCTGAAAGAGGGGGAAAAAAATCGCATGCAATTTTATATCCAGCAAAAATATTCCTCTAGGTATGAAGATAAAATAAAGACATTCTCAGATGAAGGACAACTTAGAGAATTTTTCACCAGCAGAGGCTGAGGTGGGAGGATTGCTCGAGCCCGGGAGTTCGAGGTTGCAGTGAGCTGTGATTGTGCCACTGCACTCCAGCCTCAGTGACAGAGGCTCTGTTTCTCTAAAGAAAAAAATTTAGATTGGAATGAAAGAAATAAAGCTGTCCGTGTTTGCAGACAACATGATTACCTACACAAAAAACTGCAAAGAATCTACAAAAATCTAAAACTGGTAAGTGAGCAAGGGCACAAGCTACAAATAAGGTCAGTGTACAAAAATCAGGCGTGTTTCTATATACCATCAATGAACAACTGGAAAGCAAAATTTCAAAAGTAGTACTATTTACAATAGCTCCAAAAATGTAAGACTTAGGTATAAATATAACAAAATATGTGGAACATCTATATGCTGAACTACAGAATGTTGAAAGAAATCAAAGAAGACCTAAGTAAATGGAGAGAAAAACCATTTCTGTGGTTGGAAGCCTCAATATATTTAAGACATCAGTTCACCTCAAATAGATCTGTAAATTTAATGCATTGCTAATCAAAATCCCAGTAATAATTTGTGTATACATAGATATTTTATTTCTTTTATAATACTTTAATTTTAGACAGGCTCTCACTCTGTCCCCTAGGCTGGCTGCAGTGGTGCAATCACTGTTTACTGCAATCTTTGAGCTCTCAGGCTCAAGGAATTCTCCTACCTCAGGTTCTTGAGTAGCTGGGACTACAGGCATGTGCCACCACACCCAGCTAATTTTTTAAAAAAATTTTGTATAGATGGAGTCTCACTATGTTGCCCAGGCTGTTCTTAAACTCTTTCCCTTCCAAAGTGCTGGTATTATAGGCATGAGCCCCCATGCCTGGCCAGATAACTGATTTTAAAATTTATAGTAGAAAGTCAAAGGTACTAGAACAGCCAAAGCAAGTTTGAAAAACAACTAAATTGGGCCGGGCGCGGTGGCTCACACCTGTAATCCGAGCAATCTGGAAGGCTGAGGCGGGAGGATTGCTTGAGCTCAGGAGTTTGAGACCAGCCTGAGCAAGAGATCCCGTCTTTACTAAAATATAGAAAAATTAGCCAGCAGTGTGGCATGCTCCTGTAGTCCCAGCTACTCAGGAGTCTGAGGCAGGAGGATCACTTGAGCCCAGATGTTTGAGGCCACAGTGAGCTATGATGACGCCACTGCGCACTGCACTCTAGCTGGGGAGACTCTGTCTCAAAAAAAAAAAAAAAGAAAAAAGTTGGAGGACTCATGCTACCAGATTTTAATACTTACTATAAAGCTGCAGTAATCAAAATATTGGTTTTAGCAGAATAGACAAGTCTAGAAGTAGCCCCAGCAAACATACTCAATTGATTTTTGCCAAAGGTAGAAAGGCTATTCAAAATGGAAAAAGGATGATCTTTCAACCAGTGGTGCCAAATCAGTTTGGCATCCGAGTGCAGAAAAGTGGATCCTCAATGTATACTTTATATAAAAAATGAATTCAAAATGGGTCATAAATTTAAATATGAAATTTTAAAAACTCTAAAATTCTTAGAAGAAAGTATAGGAGAAAATCTTTATGACCTTACGTTAGGCAAAGAGTTCTTAGTTATGACACTGAAAACACTGTAAGAGAAAAAATTGTTAAACTGGAATTCATCAACTCAAAACTTTTGTGAAAAACACTATTAAGAGAATGGAAAGTCAAGCTAGAGTGGGAGAAAGTATTTCTAAATCACATATCCAACAAAGAATTCGTGCCCAGCATATATAAAGAACTCTCAATGTGTATCAAAAAGGAAACAACCCAATTTTTTAAATTTACAAAAGATTTGAACAGATGCTTCACCAAAAAAGATATACAGACGGCAATTAAGCATATGAAAGTGCTCAACGTGAGTAGTCATTGGAGAAGTGCAAATTAGAAGCAAAATGAAATACCACTACATTCCTATTGGAATGCTGAGAGAAAAAGAGACTGGCAATAGCAAATGTGGCCAGGACACAAAACAGTAGGAATCCTAAAATATTGCAGGTTGGAATACAAAACGGTGCAGCTACTCTGGAAAACAACTGGACATTTTCTTATAAAATTAAACATATACTTAACATATGACCCAATAATCCTAGATATTTATCCTAGAGAAATGAAAACTTATGTTTACACTAAAATCTATACACAAATGTTTATAGTAGCATTATTCATAATGGCCCCAAACTGGAAACAACCCAATGTCCTTCAACAGGTGAATGGATAAACAAATTTTAGTACCTCCTGGTACTCAGTAATAACAGGGAATCAACTATTGATACAGGCAGAAACATGGGTGAATCTCCACAATATGCTAAGTGAAAGAAGCCTCTTTCAAAATGTTGCATATTTTACAACTATCCATTTCGATGACGTTCTCAAAATGTCAAAAGCTATAGGCTAGAGAGCAGCAGTTCAGTGATTGCCAGGGGTTAAGGTGGGTGGTGAGTTTGACTATGAAGCATCAACATGAGGGAATGTTGAAGGTGAAGGAACTGAACTGTTCTGTGTCCTGATTGTGGTGGGGGTTTCATGAATCTATGCATGTGTTAATCAGAACTATGTACCAGCAAAGAAAAGAAGTTTGTATAAAGTAATTTTTTAAAAACCTACCATCTAGAATTATTGTTAAAATCTTAATTTGTATCTTCCAGATAAGTTTCTCACCATCTTTGCAAACTTACATGTATATAGTACATATATATATGCAAACACATGTCAACATAATTTTTAGTAGCTGCATTTCACACAATGTCATTTGAGTTATTCCTGTTTTTCAGAATCATGACTGGTTTTTTGTAAACTTTACTGTAAAGCTATTTTTTCATATTTTACATTGTTTCATAATAGATTCTCAAAAGTAGAATTACTCATTTAGAAAATAAATATTTTTCAAACGAGTTTATCCCTGATAAATTCTTCAAGTATTAATCTGAGACTGACAGAAATTCTAGAAAGATATATTTGAAACCTTGGGCTTGCCACAGTGGCTCACACCTATAATCCCAGCACTTTGGGAGGCCAAGACAGGAGCATTGCTTGAGTCCAGTAGTTCGTGACCAGCCTGGGCAACATAGTGAGACCCCATCTCTGCAAAATGTTTTTTGAAAACTAGCTGAGCATGGTGGTACATGCCTTTAGTACTAACTACTCGGGAGGCTGAGGTTGGAGGATCACTTAAGCCCAGGAATTCAAGGCCACGGTGAACTATAATTGCTACTGTACTCCAGCCTGGTTGACAGAGACCCTGTCCCGAAAAAAAAAAAAAAAAAAGAAAGAAAGAAATCTTGAATATTGAAGTGCTGCAGAGAATTGGCAAGATAAGTTTGTCAAAGGGATTCTCTGATAATTGAGGAGTCAGAGCCTATGAAAATCTGCTATAACATCATTTAATCTTATTTACTTATAAAATTTCCTTCATTGTAGTCATGTTTTAGGAGAAATTTCTAAAGTAATATTTAACATTCTTTTAAATGGCTTTATCTGTTGGAGTTAATCTTCATACCTTTTTAAAAAATGTTCTTCTCCTTGTTTAATAGAACACAGAATTTATTTTTTTCACTATGCTTAGTGGAAAGATTAAGTTGCAATTTTTGCCCTTTCTGGAATAAGTTGCTTAAAAGGACTTTTTAATGTGTTGTTTTCATTTGATTGTTTTCAGAGTTCCTTGGTGTAAATATTTTCTAGTTAACCCTATTGCTACCATATTCTCGTTATATGTTGTTATGTATGTGTGATATAGATCAGTAGATATAACACATTATTTCCATACTTGAATGTATCTGTGTAATATTTGTGTAATATATATACATACACATACACATACTCAGTAATTTCATATTTTGTCTTTACAAATGTTTTTTGAAAGTTTGATAACACCAATTATTGGTGAAGTTGCAAGAAGTGAGAATTCTTATATTTCTAATGAAAGTATAAATTTTGATGCACTTTAAAGAGAAATACCTAATGAAATCGGAAACGCGTATATGGTACAACTGGTAAATCTTCTACTGCATAGTCTGTGCTAGAGGAACTGTTACAGATGTACATAAAGAGATATATACAGAGGATGTTATTGCAACATTGTTGTAATGATGAAAAAGAATATCTAGCTGTTCCTTAGAAGAGCAGACAAATTGTAATTTATTTTACAATGGAATTTTGTATTTCAATTAAAGTAAATGAACTAAATCCATATATATGAACATGGATAAATATCTAAAATAACATTGAGTGGAAAAAGCAAGTTGCCAAAACTTAGAGGTGTTGATATCATCTGTGTAAATTTTCAAGGCAGAAAACTACATTACATATTGTTTGTAGACACACAAAAAACATATGAGAATGAAACATACCTAAGAATGATAGAGACCAATTTCAGCATAGTATGGGTGAAGGAGGAAAGGGAGAAGAAATAGGCATGTGATTTCATTTCTTCTTTATAAGGAGAGAAGCTGAAGAAAATTTGGCAAAATGCAAAAATCTGTGTAATTTCAGTGGTAGCTTCACATGTATTATATTTAACTATTTCAAAATTTAAAAATTTTTATATTAAAATTAATCCTGTTTTTATGTTTAGCTTGAAGCTCAACTAGAGAAAAAAGACCAACAATTTAAAGAACAAGAAAAGACTATGTCCATGTTGCAACAAGATATAATGTGCAAACAACATCATCTTGAATCACTAGATAGACTCTTGACAGAAAGCAAAGGGGTAAGTTTATGTCTCTGTAACATACCATTAAATCTAATCATCCTGTTACTAATGGTAAAATGTTTATTTTCATACTTATATTTTCCTACCAATCTGTATGTTTTCAGGAAATGGAAAAGGAAAATATGAAGAAAGATGAAGCTTTGAAAGCATTACAGAACCAAGTATCTGAAGAAACAATCAAGGCTAGTATGCGAATACTTTAATTTTTTTTTCTTATTGGAGAAATTCTTGTGGCTTTTTTACTTCTCTTTATAAATTGTAAAAATTGTATACATAAAGTCAATTAAGAGCTGA